CCCAGGTGGTTTTCCACATATGTGTTAATACCATGGTAGAAAACAAGCCAGTGAACTGTTGGGGTTCATACTCATTACTGATGCACCACTACTGTTAATACTTTTTTTTTTGAGACACAGTCTCACTCTGTCACCGGGGCTGGAGTGCAGTGACACGATCATGGCTGTATCTCCCAGGCTCAAGCTATCCACCCACCCTAACCTCCCGGGTAGCTGGGACTACAGATGCACACCACTAAAGCTAGCTAATTTTTAAATTTCTTGTAGAGATGAGGTCTCACTATATTGCCTAGGGGGTCTCAAACTCCTGGGCTCAAGTGATCCTCCCACTTCGGTCTCCCAAAGTGCTGGGATTAAAGGCATGAGTCACTGTGCTCAGCCACATTATTTCTGATATCTTTTTGTATATATGAAATACAAATAAAGATTTTTCCAAAAAACTCCATTGGATTTAGCCTGAACTGGTGGTTGTCCATGACTCAGGTTAGACTGCCTATAGGGCATGGGTGAACCCAGTTCTGGTGTGGACTTATTTGGGGCAGATGTACTGGATGTGGAGAGGATGCTGCTGTATGGGCGGTGAGGTTCTCTCCAAGTGCTGTTAGCAGCACACAGACTCTGGATCGTCTTCACAAAGGCTGCGGTCAAGAGCACAGAAACTGGTGCCAAAATGCCATCTTGTTCTAATCCAATACTCAGTCACTTAGTAGCTGTGTGACTTTGGGCAAGTTACTTAGCCTCTCTGTATTTTAGTTCCCTCATTTGTAAAATGGGGATGATAAAATTAACCTATTTCATGGGGCCCTTATGATAACTAAAAAGGAATGCTTGTAAATTGCTGAGCACAATGCCTGGAACCTAGTAAATGCTTTATTAGGGTTTGTTAAAAATAGAGAAGGCCAGATGCAGTGACTCACACCTGTAATCCCAACGTTTGGGAGGCCAAGGTGGGCGGATGGCTTGAGCTCAAGAGTTTGAGACCAGCCTAGGCAACATAGCAGGACCCTGTCTCTACAAAAAATCAAAAAATTAGCACGGCGTGGTGGTGCACGCCTGTAGTTCCAGCTGCTTGGGGGGCTGAGATGGGAGCATCGCTTAAAGCCAGGATATTGAGGCGCGGTAAACTCTGATCGCGCCACTGCACTCCCCCTCCTGGGTGACAGAGCGAGGCCCCCGACTTCCGGGGTAGGAAAGAATAGAGGAAAGGGCTGCTTGGTGCTAAATTAACTTGGAGAGTTTTTCCTCTGGGGTTGGTGCGATGACCTGGGAGAACACCAGATGGCAGCAAAGCATTATTTTCTGGTGATAGAGCATACCCACTTTGCATCAGCTGCCCTGGGTTTTCCCAAAGACCCTGAGGGCACACTCACTTCCGCTCTAACCAGGCTCTGCTAAATGGTACCAGACTACCATGGACTCATTGCAGCCTGTACCTTTGTTCTGACCGGGGTGATTATCACTGAAGACTTTTTTTTTTTTTTTTTGAGAGGGAGTCTTGCTCTGTCACCCTGGCTGGAGTGCAGTGGCATAATCTCAGCTCACTGCAACCTTCACCTCCCAGGTTCAACTGATTCTCCTGCCTTAGCCTCCTGAGTAGCTGGGATCACAGGTGCACGCCATCATGCTCGGCTAATTTTTTTTTTTTTTTGAGACGGAGTCTCGCTCTGTCGCCCAGGCTGGAGTGCAGTGGCGCAATCTCGACTCACTGCAAGCTCTGCCGCCTCCCAGGTTCACGTCATTCTCCTGCCTCAGCCTCCCTAGAAGCTGGGACCACAGGCGCCCGCCACCACGCCCGGCTAATTTTTTTGTATTTTTAGTGGAGACGGGGTTTCACCATGTTCGCCAGGATGGTCTTGATCTCCCCACCTCGTGATCTGCCCGCCTCAGCCTCCCAAAGTGCTGGGATTACAGGCATAAGCCACCACGCCTGGCCAATTTTTTGTGTTTTTAACAGAGACGGGGTTTCACCATGTTAGCCAGGATGGTCTTGATCTCCTGACCTAGTGATCCGCCTGCCTCAGCCTCCCAAAGTCCTAGGATTATAGGCGTGAGCCTCCACGTGTGGCCAATCATTGATGACTTTCTTAGATGTGGAACTACTTTGCCAAAGATTGTGAATGATTTTGAGGCTTTGATACATATTGTTGAATTGGCCTCTGGAGAAATTGTACCGATTGATACCCAACCAAGAGTTGGATAGGTGTTCCTGCCCTACACTAATATTGGGTATTATTATTTAAACAAAATTGCCCAAGGTGGAGGATTTTAAAAAGGTTTTTCATTAGCATCTATTTGTAAGGTTAAACATGTAGAAATTTTTTTGAGATAAGAGTCTTGCTCTGTCATCCAGGCTGGAGTGCAGTGGTGCTTTCATACTCACTACAGCCTCAGACTCCTAGGCTCAAGCCATCCTCCAGCCTCAGCCTCCCAAAGCGCTGGGATAACGTGTGTGAGCCACTGTGCCTGGCCTCTACTGGAATGTTCATGTTTTAAAAAGCTAATTATACAATACAAATATTAGCATTTTCTGTCACATATACTGCAAATATATTTCCTATTTTCTTGTTGTGTAAACTTAACCCTATTCAGGTTTTTTGTTTGTTTAAGATACCAGGATCTCGCTCTGTTGCCCAGGCTGGGTGCAGTGGCAAGATAATAGCTCACTGCAGCCTCTAACTCTTGGGCTCAAGCAATCCTCCTGTCTCAGCTTCCTGAATAGCTGGGACTACAGGTGCAAGCCACCACACCCAACTAATTTTTGTGTATTTGTTTTTTGTTTTTTTTTTTTGAAAGGGAGTCTCGCGCTGTCGCCCAGGCTGGAGTGCTGTGGCCGGATCTCAGCTCACTGCAAGCTCCGCCTCCCGGGTTTGCGCCATTCTCCTGCCTCAGGCTCCCGAGTAGCTGGGACTACAGGCGCCCGCCACCTCACCCGGCTATTTTTTTGTATTTTTTAGTAGAGACGGGGTTTCACTGTGTTAGCCAGGATGGTCTCGATCTCCTGACCTCGTGATCCGCCCGTCTCGGCCTCCCAAAGTGCTGGGATTACAGGCTTGAGCCACCGCGACTGGCCGTATTTGTTTTTTGTAGAGATCAGGTCTTGCTATGTTGCCCAGGCTGGTCTTGAACTCCTCGGCTCAAGTGGTTCTCCCATTTCAGCCTCCCTAGTAGCTGAGATTTTTATATTTTTATTCAATTTTTTCTTTTTTTTTGAGACAGAGTCTTGCTCTGTCGCCCAGGCTGGAGTGCAGTGGTGCAGTCTCCATTAACTGCAACCTACGCCTCCTGGGTTCAAGCGATTCTCCTGCTTCAGCCTCCCAAGTAGCCGGGATGACAGCTGCGTGCCACCATGCCTGGCTTTTATTCAGTTTTTGAATGAGTAATACCACAGGTGGTTCAACATCAAAAAGCATTCAAAGGTATACAGTGAAGACTCCTTCCTGATTTAGTTCACATCCTTTTCCAGTAGGTTTCATGATTAATCACTCTGTACTTGTAGCTTCAGAGTTTTTTATGCCTGTAAAAGCCAATACAAACACATATGCCCTTTTTTTGCTTACATTTTAGCATATGTTTTGCTAGAGTGCAGTGGCACAATCATCAGGCTCAAGCAATCCCCCCATTTCAGCCTCCCAAGTAGCTGGTACTACAGGCGTGAGCCACCATGCCTGGCTAATTTTTAAATTTTTTGTAGAGGCAGGGTTTTGCTGTGTTGTCCAGACTCTTGAACTTCTGGCCTCAAGCAATCCTCCTGCCTCAGCCTCCCAAAGTGTTGGGATTACAGGTATGAGCCACCATGCGTGTCCAGTTTGTCCTTTTTTACTTTTTTAATTGCCATTAATATACTTTTATGGGATTTAAGTTGTCATTCCTTAGTTTTATGTATCCTGGATTTTTTTGGTCATAATTAGAAAGGTCTTTCCCTCTCCTAGGGGAATATTTTTCCTATCGTTCCCTTTAATACTTTTATGATTTTATTTTTAAACATTTCAATCTTTGATCCATTTGGAATTTACACTGGCATAAATACTATTTTCTGAGAATACTCAGTATAAATACTCAGTATAATTTACTAAATACTCAGTATAAATACTCAGTACAAACTACTGAGAATTTATACTGGTATAAATACTGAATCAACTCAGTTTTGTATCCAGATGACTAGTTATTGTCTTGATATCACTTATTGAATAGTTTTTCTTATCCATGACCACTATTTCCAAACCATACATTATGAATCATATGATCACAGCATTATTTTTTGTAAAGAAAATTGTGCAACTTAATGACTAACAATATGTAAAGCGTTAAATAATTGATACTACACTTATTTAATGGAATCTTGGTGTTTTCAAAGACTCTTTAATTACATGGGAGATTCTCCAGACAAAATTAAGACAGAAAGGCAAGATACAAAATAATATATGCCAAGTGATCCCAATTAAAAACAAGAGTACATTTATGTATAAAAATAGCTAGAAGAATATCAACATTTTTAGAGTATTTATTTCTGTCTTTTAAAAAGTTTATCTGCAAGGAATGTTTCCTTTTGATAAGTTGATAACCCCTAATAAGTATTATTTAAAACACCAAAAAAGACTCGTGTGGTAGGCCAGGGCACAGTGGCTCACGTCTGTAATCCCAGCACTTTGGGAGGGCAAGGCGGGAGGATCAATTAAGGCTAGGAGTTTGAGACCAGCCTGGGCAACATAGCAAGACCCTGTCTCTACAAAAATAAATTAAAAACAAACTTAGTTGCACATAGTGGCATGTGCCTGCCATCCTAGCTACTAGGGAAGCTAAGGCAGAGGATCACTTGAACTCAGGAGCGAGGCTGCAGTGTGCAGTGGTGCACTCCCACCTAGGTGATGGAGCAAGACCTTGTCTTTAAAACAAAACCAAAACACCTCTTGTGGTATATGTGTCTTTTATATTAAACCACTTTTTAAAATATTTTTTTAAGGTGGGAAATACAATGTATTTTCCCTCTTGGGAAAGTTTCCCTTGATTTTATCCAAACTCCTGGGGACTGGTGCTGCAGCCCACTGATCACATTCTTGGCTATCTCGAATGTGTTTTCTATTTCATGTCTCCTCAGGTATCTCCTACAGCTACTTGTGTGGTGTTTGAATATTGGCCTTCCAACATTTCTTGTTGAATTATTTCAGGCTCACCTTGGTCATAATGAGTGGACCTGGCTTTACCCAGGGCTTCAGCCTTTGGCATTTCACATGAGGAATACCACTGAGCTGGGGGTCAAGAGGCCTGACTTTTAATCTTGGCTCTGCCCCAGACAAGTGTGAACTTGGGTAAGTCACTCTTGCTCTGGTGGGCCTCCTTCTGTCTTCTATAAAGTGAATGTGTTAGGTGATCTCTAAAGTTCCTTCTGATTTTGAATGTCTAACTGTAGAAGCCACAGTAAATCTTGGCTTTCTAGGGGTTCTAAGGATCCTTTAACATCATTAGCAACAAACGGGAGGTTCAAGCAATTCTTCTGCCTCAGCCTTCCGAGGAGCTGGGATTACAGGTGCCCGCCACTACGCCCAGCTAATTTTTTGTATTTTTAGTAGAGATGGGGTTTCACCACGTTGGCTAGCCTGGTCTCAAACTGCTGACCTTGTGATTCGCCTGCCTCGGCCTCCCAAAGTGCTGGAATTATAGGTGTGAGCCAATGCTACCGGCCTGCTTTTTGTTTTTTAAGGAGTGTCATAGTTCCTAGGTTTTTTCTGTTGTTCTGATTAAGCAAATTTAGCTAAACTGGGTCCTATCAACTGAGTTTCGTTGTAGCTGGATTCCTCAGGCTGTCCCAACTGTGGGATTTTTTTGTTTGTTTGTTTGTTTGGTTGGTTGGTTTTGGCTACATTAAGCTGAGTCTATTCAGATGAGACAGAATGTATAGTGAATATGTGTGCAAGATTGCCTTGCAGGGTGAAACTTACCAAGTTGCAAAGCCTTGTGAGACCTGCATTTCTCCCGCTGCAAAACGTGGCTAGCATCAGGGACAACGAGGGCTAATTTTGTGTTAATCTAAACCTACAACTTCATTTTACAGGAAAGAACACTGAGGGCCAGGAAATGTCGAGTGACCTGTCCATACTCACACAGCGTGGAGGAATCAGAGACCATGGGGTCAGGACCTATGGGCTTAGGATATACCGGAAGAGGCCTGATTTCCAGTTGAGCATTTGCCAAAAATCAGCAGTGTGACTTGGGCAAGTCATTTTCTCTACTGATTAAAGTGAATTAACAGAACACAATGCAAAATTTTCTGGGTTCCTTATCTATTTTGTGGATTGAAAATAGGGTCTAGGTAGATTGACAGACATAGAATTTCCTGGTGAAATAAATGGGACTGAGCTGGACACAAAAATCAAGATATGATTTTACTCATTTGCCATTTTCATCATTTTCTGAAGGATATTTACAGCTTAATGTGTCTTCACGTTAGCAATGTTTGATGCTCTTGGCAATTATTTTCCTCTTAGCAAGATTTCGCAGAAGAATACATTACCCTTTACTAAGTACTGTTGTTGAACAGAAATGAAGCCAAAGAAACCTGCATGATCTCTAAGGACCTCAGCACTCACTAGTAGGTCTAAAAACTTAATGAGCATTAATGGGCATTAAATGCAATGCTTATTCTTTTTTTTTTCTGGAATGAACAGATCCCCATGGATATAAGCTTACCATCCTCAGAACAGCTTCTATTATAGATATTTTGTTTTATTAATTAACCTAGTTTTCTTTAATCATAGAAGTAATACAGAAATATAGCAAAACCAAAAAAGTTCAAAAAATATAAGATGAAAACCAGAAGTACCCCTTTTGGCCCAACCCAGTGATACTCACTACTGTGGTCTGAATGTTTATGTACCCTCCAAATTCATATGTTGAAATCCTAACCCCCAAAGTGATGGTATTAGGAGATGGGAATTTATTAGAATATTAGGAGAGCAGAGCACACCCCCTCTTCCCACCCCTTGCTTTCTTTTTTCTTTTTGAGACAGGGTCTCACTCTGCCTTCTAGGCCAGAGTGCAGCAGCACAATCATAGCTCACTGAAATCACACACTCCTGGGCTCAAGCAATCCTCCAGCCTCAGCCTCTCAAGTAGCCAGGACTATGGGTGCACACCACTATGCTCAGCTAATTTTAATTTTTTGGTAGAGAGGGTCTCGCTATGTTGCCCAGGCTGGTCTCAAACTTCTGCCTCAAGCAATCCTCCCACCTCAGCCTCCCAGAGCTCTGGGATTACAGACATGAGCCACTATGCCTGTCCCAGAGCCCTTTTAAAAGATTAGTGCCCTTATAAAAGAGGCCTGGGACAACTACATTGCCCCTACCATCATGTGAAGACACAATGAGAAGGCTCCATCTATGAGCTAGAGAATTGGCCCTCACCAGACCAATTTGCCAGTGCCTTGAACTTGGACTTCCCAGCCTCCAGAACTATAAGAAATACATTTCTGTTGTTTTAAACTGCTTAGTTTATAGTATTTTGTTATAGCAGTCCAAATAGACTAAGATATCCCTAGAGACAACCACTTTCAAAAATTTTTAGTTTTGCTGTTTCTGCTAATTACTGTTAGTAAATTTTTTTTTTTGATGCAGTCTTGCTGTGTCGCCCCGGCTGGAGTGCAGTGGTGTGATCTTGGCTCACTGCATCCTCTGCCCCCCGGATTCCAGCGATTCTCCTGCCTTATCCTCCTGGGTAGCTGGGATTACAGGTGCATGCCACCACTTCTGGCTAATTTTTGTATTTTTAGTAGAAATGGAGTTTTACCCATGTTGGCCAGGTTGGTCTTGAACTCCTGACCTCAGGTGATCCGCCTGCCTTCACCTCCCAAAGTGCTGGGATTACAGGTGTGAGCCACCATGCCCAGCCTACTGTAGTAAATTTTATGTTTTATTTTCCCCCAACCTTTTTTTTTTTAAATTTTTAGTAGCAATGAGGTCTCACTCTGTTGCCTGGGCTGATCTCAGACTCCTGGCGTCAAGTAATCCTCCTCCCTCGGTCTCCCAAAGTGCTAGGATTACAGACATGAGCCACCACACCTGGCCTTTTGTTTTGTTTAGAGAAAAAACATACACATTTTATTAACGTGTACATGGGGGTGATCACAGAGTGATCACCCCTATGTTCCCCAACTTTTGATTTAAAGAAATTTCAAACTGGCCGGGCATGGTGGCTCACGGCTATAATCCCAGCACTTTGGGAGGCTGAGGAGGGTGGATCATGAGGTCAAGAGTTCAAGAACAACCTGGCCAAGATGGTGAAACCCTGTCTCTACTACAAATACAAAAATTAGCCAGGTGTGGTGGTGGGTGCCTGTAATCCCAGCTACTCGGGAGGCTGAGGCAGAGAATTGCTTGAACCTGGCAGGCAGAGGTTTCAGTGAGCCAAGATCGCATCATTGCACTCCAGCCTGGGCGACAGAGTGAGACTCTGTCTCAACAACCACCACCACCACAACAACAAAAATTCAAACTTACAGAGAAGTTGCAAAAATTTACCTAGATTCACTTATCAACTGTTAACAATTTGCCATATTTGGCTTTCTCTCACTGTACATATATATAAATTTTCTTTTTTGCTGAATAATTTGAGGAACAGATGTAGAGATAGAGCCATTTTTCCTCAAATATGCATGCTCCAGGAATTAAGGATATTTGGCTGGGAGTGGTGACTCATGCCTGTAATCCCAGCACTTTGGGAGGCCAAGGCAGGTGGATTGCTTGAGGCCAGGAGTTTGAGACCAGCCTGGCCAATATGGTGAAACCCCATCTCTACTAAAAATAAAAATATTAGCCAGGCATGGTGGCAGGTGCCTATAATCCCAGTCACTAGGAAGGCTGAGGCACGAGAATCACTTGAACCTGGGAGGTGGAGGTTGTAGTGAGCCAAGATCATGCCACTGTACTCCAGCCTGGGTGACAGAGTGAGACTCTTTCTCAAAAAAAAAAAAAAAAAAAAAAAAAAAAGAAGGACATTCTCCCCTATAACCACAATATACTTCTCCCACTGAGGAAAATGTTATCACTGACATGATTATCTAATAAAATGTCCATTTTCAGATTTCCATAATTGTTCAATGTCTCTTTCAACATTATTGAAATAATTTGTTTCAATCCAGGATCCAATCACTCATCACACATGACACTGAATTTGTTATGTCTCTTCAGCTATATTTTTCTTTCATGACACTGATATTTTTGAAGGGTACAGGTCAGTTGTTTTTTAGAATATCCCTCAATCTGGACTTGTCTGATTGTGTCCTCATGATTAGATTCAGAGTCTACATTTTTGACAGGAGAACTACAGCGATGATGTGATATCTCAGTGCTGCACACCAGTAGGCACATGGTGTCAGTTTGTCTTATTATAATTGATGCTAAGTTAGTTTGGTCATTTCCTTAAGGAGGTATCTGTCAGATTCCTCCCAGATTACTCACAAATGAGTAATTTGTGAGGTGATACCTAGAGACCAGATAAGTACCCTGTTCTCCAACAATCGTTCACTCTGTTGTGTTTTTTTTTTTTTTTTTTTTGAGACAGAGTCTCACTCTGTCACCCAGACTGGAGTGCAATGGCGTGATCTTGGCTCACTGCAACCTCCGCCTCTTGGGTTCAAGCAATTCTCCTGCCTCAGCCTCCCAAGTAACTGGGATTACAGGCACCCGCCACCACGCCCAGCTAAATTTTTGTATTTTTAGTAGAGACAGGGTTTCACCTTGTTGACCAGGCTGGTCTCGAACTCCTGACCTCAGGTAATCCATCCACCTCGGCTTCACAAAGTGCTGGGATTACAGGCATGAGCCACCGTGCCTGGCCCCAGTGGTTTTATTATCCAGTGATGCTCCTTGCCTGAATCACTTACTACTATGTGCTGCTAAAGTGGTGATTTTAAAAATTCCATTACTTCTTCTATACTTATTGGTTGACATGTTTCTTGAAAATATCATTTTCCTTTCTTTCCCTCTCCTTTAAAAATTAATTTTTTAAAATTTTAGTATTTATTTTTATATGTATTTTTTTTGAGATGAAGTCTCACTCTGTCGCCCAGGCTGGAGTGCAGCGGTGAGATCTCAGCTCACTGCAAGCTCCGCCTCCCGGGTTCACGCCATTCTCCTGCCTCAGCCTCCCGAGTAGCTGGGACTGCAGGGGCCCGCCACCTCGACCGGCTAGTTTTTTGTATTTTTAGTAGAGATGGGGTTTCACCGTGTTAGCCAGGATGGTCTCGATCTCCTGACCTCGTGATCCACCCATCTCGGCCTCCCAAAGTGCTGGGATTACAGGCTTGAGCCACCGCGCCCGGGCTTATTTTTATTTTTTGTAGAGACAGGGTCTTGCTCTGTCACCCAGGTTGGCATGCAGTGGTGTGATCATAGCTCACTGCAACCTTGAAATCCTGGGCTCAAGTGATCTTCCTGACTCAACCTCCCACATAGCTGAGACTACAAGCATGCACTATCATTCCCAACTAAGTTTTTCTGTTTTTTAGACACAGAGTCTTGCTATGTTGCCCAGGCTAGGCTCAAACTCCTGGCCTCAAGCAATTCTCCTGCCTTGGCCTCCCAAAGTGCTGGCATTACAGATGTAAACCTCTGCACTTGGCCAAACATTTTTATTTTAAAATAGATTGTAACACATAGATTCTTTTAAAATTATCTGATGTGTGGCCAGGCACGGTGGCTCATGCCTGTCATCCCAGCACTTTGGGAGGCCAAGGCAGGTGGATCACCTGAGGTCAGGAGTTCGAGACCAGCCTAGCCAACATGGTGAAACCCCGTCTCTACTAAAAATACAAAAATTAGCCAGGCATGGTGGCAGGCGCCTGTAATCCCAGCTACTTGTGAGGCTGAGGCAGGAGAATCTCTGGAACCTGGGAGACGGCGGTTGCAATGAGCCGAGATCTCGCCATTGCACTTCAGCCTGGGGGACAAGAGTGAGACTTCAACTCAAAAAAATAAATAAATAAATAAAATTATCTGATGTGTTCTAATCTGGTCCTGTCATTATTTCAATACTGAAATAATTCCCAATCTGGCCAGTGAGAGCCCTTTCAAGTTGGCTTCCTTGTCCTCTTGGCATGTTACTGTCATTTTTGAGCACTTTCTTACTTTGTGGCACAAGATGCTCTAGGTTACTTTGTACTCTTCCTGTTCTAGCCCTGGTATCAGCCATTTCCGTTAGGAATCTTCCATTATAATTTAGATTTATGTATCTATTTTTGAGAGGGAGTCTCACTGTGTCGCCC